GAATTATAGATTTCTTTGTAAATCTTTGTTGATATAACCTCTTTGGCATTATCGGGTGATAAAAAACTTTAGTATTTTTCTGTTCTATTAAATAATAATAACCTGGGCCTCAACAAGAGTTCTATTGACGAGGCCCAGTTAATATATTGTGGTGTAAATAAATCTGGACGAAAAAACGGCGATTTTTGACTGACTTGGTGTGTTTTGCATGAGCGGGGTCGATACGTTTCGATTGGTTTTACACGGTATTCAAGCTATCTCATACATATATTCTCATAATAAAATACAAGTGGGATAAAATATCTGAATAGAGCTCTAAACTGTTTACAATAAACGAAAACAAAAATGAAATTTATTTGTTTTCGACAAGTGTGCGCTTGTATACGTTTACAGTGTGCACACGTGTTAATGCTTAATGGCAATTTCAACGCCAAGTGTCAGGTTCAGCTATAAATTCAATTGCATTTCCACGGGACTTTTAACGGCGGATAACAATTTATTTGAATAGGGTTTTGTTGATACTTTGTGATGATAGTCTTTTATGGGACGTAGGTTGTATACGTATAGTGTATCGTGGGAACAAAACAACAACAATCAATCCAGCACGGTTCGCTTTGCTTTTCGGTAACTGCACTTGTAAACAAGTTTAAAACGGACGCTTGGGTCGTTGTCTGTTTATACACGGTGGCGATTTGCGATTTAAAAAAAACAGAAATCTTATAAAATATAACCCGCGAAGACTGCACTATAATGTTGTGATTTGACTAATGAGTAAGAAGAAACTACCGGCGTCTCCGCCTACGCAGTCGGCGACAGGCTCCAAAAATGAGACGAATCGACCGAATGCCAAGCAGGTGCAATTTGTCACTCGTTGTCGGCGTTCTATGCGGTGTCAATGCCGCAGTTTGTTAATGTAGACCAACGTTTGCACGAGAAAGATTAATTATTTTACTGTACGCCGTACATATTGTTAGTGCAAAGCGTATCACATGAGAGTACCTATCGAGTAAGTACCTACCGATACCGTTGTACACCTTATGTCCGTGTTTGGGATTTCGAAAATACAACAGTGGTAGAAAGCATTGCGGGTTCATCGAACAGTAATTAATTTCACTCTAACTAATCGTATCAGTATAGCTCGATTAATGACATTTATTGTACACCGCCAAGCACCCTCTCCAGGGATGTCAAAGGGGGCAGCTACCCCCCCCCGCGTTTGGTAACTTAAAGTTTTATTAACTTGGATTAAAAAATAAAAATAAATTATATCCGAATAACTATACAATGCCGAATTTAGTCTCTCCATAGTATGACGTCGGTTTTAAATAGATACCTATTCTAATATATTTAAATTTCTTTTTGAAAATTTTTTTTTTCTATTTTGAGTATCTTGAATGAAAAATAATCGAAAAATAGCTTACGCGATTTACATTTTAAAATATTGTTTTTTAGCGGTATCAAAATGTACCCAAGATTTTATCAGCAATATAAAGCATAAAATACAATGGTTATTAATTGACAAATAACAATGAAAACAACATTAGATTAAACAATTAATTTTGTATGTTATACATGTATAATCATTAGTTATTTAGTTATAAATTAAGATAGTAAAAAAATTGCCTATATCGAACCTATAGATATCGAAACCCAACGAAAACAAATCAAATCTAATCTTTTTAGGATAGGGTCTTTACTCTATCAAGATTATTAAGACTATATTACTGAAATAATTCTTAAAAATATAAAAGCTATTGGTGGAAGTTGAAGTGAAAAATGAAAATGATTAGACTGTAGTAAAAAATCATATAAAAAAATAAGCCATAAATAAATATTGAACAAATAAATTTAAGAAAAAAAAACTTTACTTCAAACCTAGTTCAAACACAAAATATGTCTGCACAAATATGTTTAAGCAATGCTTCAAATAATTTAATGATTTTCAACTTAAAATAAAAAAATAATTTTAAATTAAATATTTGTTTGTAAATTGTTTTAGTCTATTTCACGTATTTGACTTTTAAATTATTATATGCGAATAAATAAAAAATACTATTATACAAAAATTAATGTTAAATAATCTATTATTATTAATTAGAACACGATTTAGTATATCATTTTTTTTATGGATTTGAATAGGTATTTGATGTACAAAATTCATACTTCATGGTATGCAAGTCATCAAGTATTCTAAATTTTTAAGAACTAAACAATTTCAAAGTTAACAAAATGTGTTGGTAGAAAATAGTCTACAATACAAACAAATACATTTATCTCACTTGCAGCTGTTTACCGAAATAATAATAATAATTTTATGCTGGGACGCACAAAACTTTATTGGCTTCATAAACCAGTTTGGAGCAACATGATTCGCCCTATATATACTTTATAGAACCAATAAAGTTTTGTGCAACCCAGCATTACTCTGTGAATCATAGCAATAATAAAAGTAAATAACTTAAATAAAATAACTAACTTTTATTTTAGGTATCTAACTTGTATTAGTTTTAGCAATAAAACAATTTAGGTTGACATTGCATAAGTTTTTGTTTAAATGCTATTAAAAATAACTTACTCCAAGAATATTCTTACTTAAAATATTTGTTTAAAGTCTGCGTGCTACAATTTTGAGAAATTAATAAATATCTACAAAGTAACATACACGTTTGACTTATTTAAAGCGTTAAGTTTTGTTTGTAATTTATAAAGTTGAATGGGTCTATGTTTACTACTTAAAACGGTGCAATATATTTTGAATCAAAAATCTCAAACATTATTTTATTTTATCAAAGGTAGCAGTTCTGCAATATATATTGAAAACTGAAATATAAAGTAAAATATGTCAAACGGTTATTTTTTATAATTTAAAAAAAAAGTTCAACGTTTGATGCCATGTTTGTATGTTTGGATGGCTTTTTGCTTATTTTCTTTTATACAACAATACGTTTTTGTATACTTAAAAGAGTCCATAAATGTGCTGCTTACTGAAATCCTTTTTTGAAGATGGACTTCTGATCTGAATGACTTCGGATAAATCCAAATATGATCAAACTAAGTTTGAAGTAGAGTTGAACAGTTATTAAACGTGACAGTGGTAATTGGTTTCATTACAATCACACGATGATGCGAATTTTGGAATACTGTACGAATCCAGTACAATAAGAAGTTAGAGAGAGAGAGAGACATAAAAAACATTAACGTTGACTGAGTTGGCTGTAATAATAATACTTCTTTTCTAAAAAAAATGCATTGCGGAGTACACAAGTTCGATACTATTTTCTTTTGTTTTTATTAGTACCTCCACATTTGTTTTGTTTTGTAAAATGGAGTTTTGTGAAACTCCAGAAATTCTACTAAAATCGATCTGTTTTCAACGTATAAAAAACGTGTGTCGATAAATCTGTATTATTTTTACATTATAATCCCGAAATTGCATTAAGATTTAAATCCGTGAATATATTAAATGAAAAATAAACAGAGTAAATTAAAATTATTATTTTACGGCTTACATGCAGAATGAATACCATGAATGGTATGCCAGTGGAAATTAAAACCCCCAACCAAAGGTATAAAATATATACACTTAAATAAAAATATACATCTTTTAAATAATTATTACTTTACGTCTGATTAATTGGCTATTATATATATAATATATATCTTATAAATTAAAATAGTATAAAAAAAAATAGACGGTTTACTTTTGTTTATAATAAATATAATCGTATTAATTTAATAGCGGTACTTGTTTTTATATAAGTAATAAAAAAGTAAATACATACATTACCAATTACTTATAAAAGTAATTATTATTATTATTTACATATTAATACTATAATAATCGTTAAGACTGGGTTCCTTTTATATAGCCATTAATAACAGAATGTGAAATAATATATTAAGATAATTTACTTAACAGGTGAAGACGGGTTAAAATGAGTTGAATAAAATTTGTTTATACTTCATTGTTAATTAAATCGTACAAATTCTCTTTCAAAAGTGTATTATAGTTTAAATGTTCGATTTTTATTACTCCCATATTTCAAAACTATTAAGGTTATTGGCAATCTTCAAAATATCTGCAGTAGAACGCATTGTTTGTTTAATCTGAAATTTTCAAATTAAATTAATACAAATACGTTAAAAGTTATAATCATAATTTAATTAGTCGTGTTTTTTCCTTTTGAAATTTGTACTCAACTGTAAATTTTGTATTCAAGCCATATCTTGTATTTATTTGCTCAAATAGCAAATGCAGCTGCATGTGGTAATGTCTATGTTAAATGTAGTTTGAAGTCAGTCTTTCAAAATGTGAGTTATACTGTTTCCAAGTTCCATTTGGCCCTACCCATCTCAAGTGTTATGTATAATTTTACTTAGTATGACGTCACACTCGACTGGAAACTTTTGTAAGTATTTTCCTGGTATCCAAACTTCTTGTCTGCAAAGTAAGCTTTATATTTTGTATATATATATTTTTCTTTAAGAGCTTTACAAATCTACAGATACTACTAGTATTCTCCAATTGATTTCAAAATTATTTTTCGAGGATTTTGTTATTTTACCTTTTAATGGTTCCCAATAATTTAAAATGTCGACCTTAGTCTTGCAATCTCTTGTCTACTTCCACACAATAGTTTTGAAAAGCGTAATAAGGTTTTAGCTTGTCTATACTTTATATTTTTTCAATTATCTTTCATACCTTGAATTCTATTGGAAACTTAAAAAACTGGATTACGACCGTTATTGTCTACATTCCATGCTACTATTTCCTTTTAGTGTTTCCATTAAATGATGTTTCCATATTCTCTGTAAATGCATTCTTAGCAACAGTTATCAACTTAAGATCCTAGTATGAACTGTACTGTCTCCGGAACTGTTTATACTATTTACTTTTTCCAAGTTACTTTTCTTAAGAAACACTTTTAATAATAAAAACAAAACATTTTATTTCGATTGTTCGGAGTAGTTTTTAATTTAATTACATTCTTATTTTGCAGACTTGGCCGTATAACGTACACAGCGGAGTGAAAGAATGCTCATCGCCCGAAGAAGACCGATACGATTGTTACATGCTAGGGCAGAAGACGACCTATTCACCTTATAATACTTACTACACGTCTATTAATTCTTAACTATTGATTGTTTAAAACTATATAAATGCTTTTACATAACAATATATTGCACATGATTATAAAATTGTGTTTGAATATATATTTTATGAAACCAATTAACATTAGATATATTGTATTAATGCTGGTATAATACCTATACTTTTGAAATTTTTCAATATTATTAATTTTCATTAGCTTTTAAGTTTTTTAAAAATGCAGGAAACTGCGCAAAAATATATTATTGTAGTTTAATAATAATAATAATTAACATAATGAATGTAATACATTTTCCGATAAAACCGTTTTGGCATTTTTACATCTTCTATTAAATTAAGTTGTTAGAGATCTTCAACGGCTCGAGGAAAAAATAATAATTAAGCGCTGGCATTCAATTTTTATTAGGATGTCGAGAAAAAATACAGAACTTAATTTTAATTTTTGTTAATTAAAAAAAAGTAATACGATGTCCTTTAATGTAAAAAAAAAAGTCGAAGAACTTAATCTTTTAATTACACTCTATGACGCCAAGTCCCGACTATAATAGTTAACATCATCGCCATCACTTGTATTGACACAGATAGTACACGGTAATACAGACAATAAGGAAGAATTTATTTCATTTCAATGGAATTTTATTAAATTACATTAAACTAATCATCATTTATTATGTTACGCATCAACAAAGGTACCTACATGTTTTATTGTCAATTTGTATAAAACCAAATAATATTTAATACCTTATGAGAGCTATTTTAAAGAATAAATTGATCTGAAATTGTGCGCAAAGGCCAATGTCGGACACGCACAAACTTAGATTATAATGAGACCGTTTGACGTTAATACTTACTATAGGTTTCCTCGATTGCCGTTATTGATTTGTCTGTGACGCTTGAGTGGTATTAATAATGTTGTCGGGTAATGTGAAATTGTACACACCGAAAAATGTTTGTTCGTCTTAGTCCAACTGTTTTAGCTCATTATTCACAAACATATTTAAGGGCTGTTAATAATTATCTGTTGACATTAATTGTAATAGTGACAAATTATGAACATTGATTTTATGTCAACAAGATATTATAAATGTGATCAATTAAATAAATCTGTGCGGCGAGTTTATGGATAAAAATGCATAAATATTATAAATACTAAGGAAAAAAAAATGTAAGCCATTCATAATATAACAAGTATTATGTTGCATTCGGCTACCCAGTATAGGGGAACTTCTCAGAATCTATTTTTTCAGAATTCAAAGTTGGAACATAGTTATAACAATTTGAAATTTTAGTTTTATTAAAAACAAACCAAAAATGGCACTTATGAATTAATCCAAAAATACCCACTGTTTGAGTAATCTTTATTTGAGTTTTAGCCACAAATAAATGGTTAAAAAAAATAGTTTTTATAATAATTAAAGACATTTTTTACAATAAAAAAAATGACTATTTAAATAAATATCCACTAGAACAAAAGTTATTTTATTTGTCAAAATCATTGTGGGCCACCCTGTATACAACACAGTATAAAACAATTTATACTTTGCAAGCTAAAAATAAGTGTAATATACAAATGAAAATTAAAAAATGATTTTAGTTTGTAAAAATATTGCCTATATTTTACCCCTTAAAATATGAAAAATGTTATAATACAATACCATCCCATCACACGATTGTTAGACTCAAAATGGAATATTGTAGACGTAATTTGAAAATGTTATGTTACAATTACTTTGAATGTGTAAATACTGTTCAAAAACGATCCCCGGGGACCCTAATAAAACATTTAGCCTTGGGCCAGCTATAATACAATATTATCGTGCGTGGGCTTTGAATAGGCTCATCTGAAAGAGGTACACCACAATTCGGGTTTTGTTTCAAACGCAGAGATTCAATCTTCTCATTTAACATTATTGTCGCATTTCAAGTGGTCTGTAATAAACATTCGTTACTAAACGTTCGGCGTTATTTTGACATATTTTCGTTTAATGATAATTTTTTAAATTGTAGGTATAGAAAAATCTATTATATTCCACTATTTTAACTTGCAATGATATAGTAAATTTAATTAATATTCATTGGTGTATCTCTAATATTAGAGCCCCGTGTATAGATGTAGAATACAACACACTTGCTTTCGTCACTTCTAGTATACTTTCGTTTTAGTCAGTTAATGAGTTACTCCGAGTTCAATTAATCGTATAGTGTAACTTTCCTTATAAATTATATTGCACACAAAATAGTGTAATGTCTTTGAAGTGGATGTACCTAATGGAATCGTGGCCCTCGATTATATTAATAAAATTACATTTTCCATATACCTACTGCGTAAAATTTTCATAATATAGCATACTGTATTACATGCGCTCGGTACGTTTTGTAATTATTTTTGAAGCGCTGCAAGTGGGTTTCAGAAATTTAGAAAGTTTAAGCTCGCATAAGTTCATAACAACTACAGTGTTGTACCTCCTCAGTGCTCGATAATGTTTTAATATCACATACAATTAATGTATTCAATTGTTTTATAATCAAACGCAAGTGGAATTACTTTTAAGTGTCATTTATAATTGTTCCTAAATACTTTGTAGTAAATGTACTTGGAGGTCTAGTGTACAGATCACTTTAAGCTATGACAACATAAACTCGGTGCCACAATTTCATTATATTATAAAATTTACCAAGGAACAAACTTACTTACATGTACTGACAAAAGTAGCGGAGAAGAAGGTTACTTGAGTTACAACAGACAATAATTTATAATATTATATTTGTTCACAGCATGGAATATAAAATATAATATTTGTAATGATTTATTTACCTCAGGGGTGGATTTTTGATGAGGGTGATAGTACGAACGCCTCCTCGGGCGAAGTTTTTTTACCGGAAAACATAATTGAAAAATACCCTTCCTCGTCCTCACTCACTTTTGTGTTTGTTGATTAAGCTTTTTACCCTGCCATCTCCTTAAATGAACATTGTGTCGGTGTTAATAAAAAATCACTGTTTATGTTTATTGTTGGTACCTTTGGTCAGGCTTTGGATTGCCATTTTTGGGACTCCTTCCAATAAATTTAATACAAATCAAAAATACCTCCCCTACATTGCTCTCCCTGTTTACTATTACAATTCTACTACAACTAAGAACTACTTGAATGAGTAATAATACTGAATTTTTTTTTGTTGAAATGCATAGCCGCCATAAAAATAATGTTAAATTTTTACAGCTGACCCATAAAAGTACTTATCCCAATAAAAATGTCCACCCTAACTTGTTTTAAAAACACATAGTTACTCCGAACAACGTATTAAACACATCTGTGGTAGTTTTTTATTGTAATTATTGTTAAAAAGATTATTACAGAAAATGCAATATTGTACCTATGTTTCGACTGTCAAAGTCACAAATTTTATTCAAAGTAATACAAAATTAATTTGTAATATGTTGTTACATAACGAAAACTGCAACCAGGATACTATGAATAATTTATTCTTGAAAATAACATGTTATCTTTATTTTGTTACATAAATACATTTTTTTTTAAAAATAGTTAGCAAAAAAAAAAAAATTTGCTTTAAAGATTGCGTATGTGAAGTGAGACCCTTTTATTTAGAGGCCATAGGCACGTGTCTATCTTGCCTAATGGGAAATATGGCCCTGCCTTTGGTTTTATACTGCTAAGCAATTAAGGTTTGCAACTCGAGAGCTATCGATCAAGTCGGTTGGGTGTTTTGCTTCTTTAACCATCATTAATATATCCAAAAAAATACAAACCTAGAATTCAGCTGTGTGGTAAAACACTTGAATAAAATCCATCCCTGAAGTACGTAGGAGTGAACTCGATAGACAACTAACGTTTAAACAGCACATCGAAAACATTGCTGTCAAACTCAAAACAACAAATCGATATCATACACAAATTAGCTGACTCAACTTGCGAGGCTTCGGCATCCACATTAAGAACGTCGGCACTAGCCTTACTATACTCCAATGCACTATGCAGAGTACGCTTCTTCAGTATGGTTAAATAGCTCTCGCTGCAAAAAGATTAATGTTCAATATACAATCATGCAAAGTATTCTAGTTGTGGTACAGTTAAGTCGACACCGACACAATGGCTTCCGATCTTATGTAACACTCCACCGCCACATAATTACTCTGAATAATGGACTAAATATATCTCATACGAATCAGACCCTCAGGCTGGAATCTAGAAAACCATCAAAGGAATTCTTAAGAAAAATTGTATAGACTTTCTATTTTTGAAGAAATCGGTTCGGTGGTTTAAGACATATCCTGGGTCCAGACGTATAAAATAAAAATACACTGTAAAAACAATACATTTTCAGCTCCTTATCGAAGCTAAAGAAAACTTTTTTCCCTGGAATTTAAAAAAAATTTAGACCTTCGTCAAAAAACACACTTTTCGGTTCGGCTTATACCACAAAACACTTATCTTCTAACTCTGACTTCCGGTACGGCGAGCGACCAACCATCCTTGTCCTTAAAATTACAATGTATATTAACAATGGGTATCGACATCGGAGTTCCATCTATTCACTCACTCTTATTCCTTGTATAATTTCTTTGTAATAAAATTTAACATTCTATTTTGGTTAGCATAATCAAGGCAGTAGCACGATCAATTTTTCTGAGAGCACTTTCAAATGTTCTATTTAATGCCCATAGGTATAGGTAATATGATTAAAAAAATAACTAGCCTAGACATTGATCAAAACAATTTTGGGAGAGTTTCAACTCTCCACCCTACCACTACTCAATACGGCATTGAAAATAATAAATAGTGCTTTTTTTATTACAAATCGCTTGTTTTTCATTCAAACTTTGTATTGTGTATTTTTTAATAGCGAGTGCATGCCTCGAGCCGTAATGTAAATTTTAATGCAAGTTAATCAAAATAATTTAATGCTAATAATAACAAAGCTAATAATAAATGTTTAGCATAAATCAATAGTTTCAAAAATTAATATAGACTTGTTTATTGGTAAAAATATTTTATGCTTACCGCTAGATTACCCTCTCACTCATTTTATACTTAGAAATCTCTTTGTTGGAGTTCTCGGCATATCTACTTGGAGAGAGAGATAATGATGTGTTGGATATCCGCAGAGTTCAGAGAACTTTTGTAATATGGCCGCTGTTTTCGCGAATCGCGCTTAACAGGTCGGAGAACGTTCATCAAAGGTTTAACGAATCAATAGACTGACCCGTGATGGGTTAATAACATTTTAATGAACCGTTAAATTCATCAATATTTTTTACAACATCAATCATGTGTACAAGAGACGGGACTTTTAAAATCCGGATTTGAAAAAACAATAATAAATGCGTGTTAAAAATTAGAATATTAATAAACTAAATTCATAATAGAATATTTTAGTACGAAAAAAAATTGTTAAAAGGAAAAATTAATAAAGTGTAAAGTTTTCAAATTTGTCGACTATCTCTTTAAGATTTAAAAAAATAAATAAATTGTACTTCGTAGAAGAAAAAGTGTTATTTGCAGAATGTTTTTTTACTAATTTAGCTTCGATACGAAGATGAGAATTTTTTATTTTTTAAATATGTTTTCTGTAAACTTTTTATCTTTTGGCTACAAAATGCAAACTACAACATCCATATTTCCTCGAAAAATTACACTTAAAATATAAAAACTAACCTAGTAGTACTTGTACTTGCTTAATTTTTTACTTTTGTATGCCTTTGCAATGCAAATTAGAAGAGAAACATAAAAAAGAAAATAAGCAATTCTAATATTTAAAGATCTTTCTCTTAGATTTTTTTAACAATAAATAAACAAAAAAAAAACCATCGGAGGTTATTTTTTTAATTTAATCAATAAGTATTTTCTATCTATCCAAACATTTTATATGTTATTGTATGTATAAAATAAAGCCATATTTTTGCCAACTATGAAATCGCAGTAGCGTTGTTTCTAGCTGGTATTATTACATTAACAATTTGTCACGATAAGCGAGAACATAAAATACCTATTTATCTTAAACAGTTGTTTAAACCTTGAAATTATATGACAATACTTTATTAATAATAATAATTATTGATATTGTAAACGTTTGTCCGGCCGGTTGGGTTGAACAAACACCAATAATTACGGTGTCGAGTATTTTCATAGGCGTTTATTGTGTTTTGTTTGTTTTTCGAGATTTTGTTTTAACTACAGCTGTACACCTGACCAAAGCGAACACCGCGGTAACAACAGTTGTGGTAGTCGAACAGTAGCTAATTACTATAGTATTATAGTATAATACATACATATACAACGGACCCGAATCCTTGTTATAACACTTACGTCGTATTCGTCGTACATTAAACCTCAAAGCATAATATGTTTTCTTTGAAATAATAAAAACAATATCTCGGCGGAAACGGTTTCACGGCGGTCACCATATGTTGGAACGTCAGAACCCCGTTTTGTGGGAACTGAGGAAAACCTGGTTTATAAATTATTACCAACGATTATAATATACATAGTATCGGCAAGTGTTGTTTACACACACAAATGTCTTGTTTGACGAAACCTAATACTTTGTTTCCTAACATTATTCTTCCTTACCTAAAACTATTGGTCGCAGTCATTTGGGTGTTGCCGAGGGTTGCTCTGCTGACTATGATGCCAATCGTGTTTACGATGCTAAAAAAAACTGTACTTATATGGGATTGAAAAAAAAAAGTATAATATAAAATAAAACAACTTTATACAGACCCGAGTAAAATTCAAATGGCCGTTTTATTTTATTTATGTTTAAAACGTTTAATCGACTCGACAAATGTGCTCGACTTGTACAGGTGAGTATAAAATACACATTATAATATTAAGGTTCATCTCGACATAATAATACAATAATATGGCGGTTTCCATTTACATTGGTTTCGTTAAAAAAAACACATATCATAGTTATAATATATTAGAGGCATTATTATACAATAATCGATAATACAGTAAAATCGTTATTATTATTATTACTATTATGCTAAACAACTAAAACGATAAATACAATTATTACAACATTACAATTAATAAAATTACATTACGAACGTTTGTTAACCATCAAAACATTATTGATTATTACATTTTTGTATTATTATTATTATTATCATCATTATGTATTATTTAAAACAATAATAACAATAACGATAATAATTCTGTAGTTAAATGCAAAAAGTCAACCGCTTACGATCTGTGTACAAAAAATACATTATGTAATATATATTGTCACCATTATGTAAACACATACATAATAATAAACTTTGAGTTATGCAAAATCTTTAACCCTTTAACCGACCGGTATAATAATAGTACCTATTATAATATGGCTGTGTGGCAGCGGACCCGAGGGATCAATGGCGATAGATTATGCCCGATGATGATCGACAAAAACGCGTAATCGTTGGCTGTCCATCATTAATAGTTGGTAAGTCAACGCGCATTGTTGTCAGTACAAAATGTTAATTTTTTTTTTAATTTATATGATTATATATTAATATCGAATAATTAAATTATTACACAAAAAAAAAAAACAATATTAATTTCACAATAGATAAATAAATAAAAACATAACATACATAAAAAGAGCAATAACATCTACACTAACATCGGCGACTAACTTGTGTGACTTGACAGTTTCATTAAATAATAAAATTAATAATAATAATTAAAATGACTCGTAACAACAAGAATATTATTAATTTTCGGCGATTTTCTTCATTTTTTTAAACAATTTTTTATACACAACTATTATTTTTATATTTATAGTAGCACGTTAACAATATTATTTGATAATTAATAACTTAAATTTTTATAATTATACGAAAACAAAAAAAAGAACGAAAATAATTTGATTTAATATCATAAATTGTCTAATAGTATGCAACACGGTAATGAAAAACAAAAAAAAATAATAACCGTAATAAAACTAATTAATTACTAACAATAAAAATTAAACCGATTATAGTTTCGAAAACAAATAATAAATATTTATTGTTCGTTGTACACAATAATATATAAAATATTGTGTATTGTGAATACACTAATATTATTATATATTATACTCTATACGGACAATGACACGAAGCTGTTGTACTGAGTGATATTTCTCTTGAGTATGTCCGCACACGGTCCCAACACCCTTTCGAACCTATTAAAAACAAAAAAACCGAACAAAATACTTAATATTGAACATCGTTATCCAATTAACCAGATGAGGTAGGGTAGAAAGAATAGGATAAGATGGTTTAGGCGCGTTGAAAGAAATGAAGAAAATTAAATAGCGAAACGGCTAACAGGTGAGAAGAATATAGGAAAGATGGGGTAAAAAAATCATAAAAAACGAAAAATGGAATTTGTTATTGCGGAGTCGTGAAGATTTGAAGGGAAAAAAAGAAAAATAAAGACGGATAGGGTGAAACCGATTTTTGATTTAGCCATTAGAAAATTAGTTAGATTTATTAGAAAAAAATATAAATGCTTATAACATTTGTTTGAAAATAAAAATAAAAAATTGACTTTTTAGCGTCCATAGAAAATATGTTAAACTATATAACAAAATCAAATTTGACATCGGTTCGGTAGAAACTTCAGAAAGTGACTTCGAGTTTTAGTCTTTATTTGAAAAAAATATGACGCTTTCCGTTCCCCTTTACTGGAATAATATTATAACCATTTGAATGAACGGTACGGTAAAAGGTTTTACCAAACTTTTCGACGATGAACATGCATATAGACATTATATATATATATATATATATACAGCCTACATTGTTGTAATTATTGTAACCGCCTAATGACCGTTTTATGTTTTCGCAAGTTTTGGCTATCCAAAATAACCGATTTTGCACGAGGGATTAAATTTCGGTTCAAACGATTTTGCACAAGCTTAGGAGGATATCGCAAACTTTTGTACATTGCCTTGGTGTTCATATTGTACACACACACGCGGTTTTACGATAATACAGATTTGTACAGCTCGAACAGCTAGAGCGAGAGGATGTAGCGAGAACTCGATGGAAATGGCAAATGGGCCAAAACACACGAAGTACAAAGGAAAATATATTTACCAAGCGAGCATACATCATACGTATATGTATTATGGCGTATTCGCTATGTGCACAAGGGTTATAGATATTGGACATTGTGTATAAAACTCGAGATCAAAGGCTCGACCTCACTCGTGTGGGAAGAAGACGGGTAAAATTAATTATTACAGCGTTTCCTCGAACCGTTGGTTTTCCGTGATTTTCGCGATATATATATATACCAAGACAAAGGAACTGAATCGGTGTGATGTTACATATATTAAAGTCTGTCCAATAGTAGGACACGAAGGACTGCTGCCAAATAAATGTTTTCCAATCGTTGCAAAGACGAACACGGTTCTGATTATACAAAACAACAAAGATGGTGTCTGAAGCCGGTTAATTCGTGAATTCGGCAGCTATATGCATCTTATAACGAGCAGAGAGAGGGAGGGTTGGCTTTTAACTTTATAGCGACAGTCACGCAGGCAAATAATACCTGGGTTACGTTGGACAAAACCGTCGGGAAAGGGGCGGGGAAGAAAAACATAAATATCAGGTTATTATTACCTGGCCCGATCCAACTTGACGCACTTCAGAGGTCCGTTTGCCACGACGGTGGCGGCGCGGGGTCTGTCCAGTAACAGTGCAATTTCACCTGAAACACACACCAGCGAAAAACGGTCATAATACTACACCATAATCATAGTGTTGCAACCAAAAAGTCGACTCGTTAAAATTTGAAGACTCTAGAGCCTATAAGCCAAGGGTGTAAGTGTTTTTTTGAGAAATCGTGTTGCGTATAGCAATATATTCCAAACAGCCTTCTACAAATTATAATAATATAGGAATATATATGGTATGACATAAGAATATTCAAAAGTGTCATCGTGAATTGTTTTTTCAATTATCTCTTGGCTTCTAGGGTCTTCAATTATTATATTTTTATTAGTGACGGAAAGTAAAAAGTCCGGATTTAAAACAAAAAGCCGTTTAAATATCGTGTAAATATTGTATATAAATATTTATTCAAATAAAATTATTTCGATGAGAAAAAAATACAAAAACGAAAAGATAAATTGCTTTTAGGTTTTGGATTTGTTGTTTGATTTGTCATCGAATACTACATTTTACTTAGATGGGTACACAGCTTTATATCGCAGTAATATTTAGTATATAAAATATTTTAAATGGCTAAAGTAGCGTTTTTTTTTTTACTCGAATATTCGTTTTTCGAATTCCCATCACTGAAATGTAGTGGCACGGCTTAAGCGTTTTCATTCTGTGCAAGAGCTGCACAACACGTCGCCACATCCGACATCGCAATTGGAATTTTATTTTATTATTCGTTTTCCCCAAAAAAAGTCAGGATAAGGGGTGAAACCGGATATTCGACTACATATAGCAATGCGGAGAGGGGGGCGGGACGCACCCTTTGGTTGTTCCGGCGGACGAGGCGGCGCCGGTGATTGCAAAAAGGAAGTGTCAAATTGAACTTTCATTCAGTTTTGTCTTGACTTTCGTATTCGTTTCTTGGTCGGGTGTCGTTCGCGTGGAAACGGCCAATTACAATAGCAACAACGGCGAGCCGATGACGGTAAATAATTATTATTATCGCCAGTCTCGACAAACAGTTTTCCCGTTTAAAACGGCCTTACCTGCTACGATAGGTAATTGTATAATAATTATTAGTAGTGGGTCGCATGCTAACGCGAAATGCACAGAGCAACGAATATATTAATATGAAGCCCAGCTCATTGATTAGGTAAAAAATACACGGCCGTCATTAAATTTTACCCATTTAGCGGTTTATTTGTTTATTTTTTCAATCTTGAAAACTTCTTTCTTAGTAGCTGCGTTAGCGACCCCGTCGATATTGTTGGTTGGCATCCGGCATTAATGTCGAAAAGTGTACATGTGCCAAAACGAAACTTACCAAAGTAATCGGATGGAGCCAACCGGCCGACTTCGATCATCGACTCGCCTTCGACCCTCTGCTGCAGGACTAGCGCCGTACCCTCGACGATAATGTAAAAATCATCTCCTTGTTCGCCTTGTCTGACAATTGTTTCGCCGTCTTCGAACGACACGGGTTCCAGGGCATCGGCTACGGTCAGTCTTTCCCATTTGTCCAGACTCTCTGGAAAATAAAAACACATACTTTTTGTTTAGTTCCGAGTTAAGACGACCCAATAATAATTGCAATGCAACAACACAATGTATATTGTCAACCGGTTTTGATTTCAACGTCGACAATATTCTTAATTATTATTACAACGGGACCGAAAAATATACCGGGCATACAAAATAACGTCATAGTAAATCCGCAATCGAGTGCCTTCGCTAGCCTTTGGTTTGGTGACTTTTGATAAAAGGTTTTACTGGCGTACGTTGAAAAAGAATTGAGAATGACGGAAAAACCAATGACAAAATCGAATTACGTACTAACAGTCGTGAGACCAAAACCTAAAGAGGCATCTTGTGCGGATGGATCTCTAAAAGCAAATCTTGTATAATGAAATATGAACAGCTTACTATAGGCGAAAATAAGTTCATACGAACAAAAATTTTTATATTTTGTAAAATAAATACAGACTAATAATCAGAGCCTGATTTAGACACCTTATTTATTTGGCTTTATTTCACTACTAGTTATATCATCAACCCCCTCCCCACCCGTCTTCATAATCAATATACTTACCCACACAGAACAATATTGAATTATGTACGAAATGGAAAATGTTTTATACGGATAATGTGATTTTCAGTGAAAACCTTTTATCTCTGGGGTTTTATTAAAAAAAAAAAAATGGTGAAGTAAAAAAAAAAATCGTTTGTTCAAAGCACTGCTTGCCTTCCAAACCCCGATAAATTTGACTAGTTTAGAATAAAAAATTTTGAAATTTTTAGCGTTTAAGTGTGTGGGTTAAAGGTAGAGCACATTATAGTGAAGAGTATGTGGATAGATAGAGTAGTAGTGGATAGATCGTCACAGATATAAGACACTTTTCAATCCTCGCCTATACTTAAAAGCGTTAACAATTACAAAATTATTTATACAAAACTTGTCGACCAGTCATCACTTCCAGAAAACCCTGCACGTTAAAATGTCTATATTTATTTATTTTAAATTAAAAGACTATTAACTATTTATTTAAAAGTTAAGAGAACGTCACACACACTACACATTATTGACCCATCAATTCATTTTTTTCTGTGAATTTTGAAAGTTTAGTTTTTTTTTGTTATTTTAAATAAGTTATTATTAATTAAAGGATTGAGATATCGGATATTTAAATGGTGAATGGCGGATTTGAACGAATTATATAAGAATTATTGTTCAAACAAAATAAATAAAATTCGCGATCTCGCTGTTTTATCTATTTTTAATATATTATTGGCCACGATTTCTGCGGTCTATAGATGTGACATTTTCTTATTAGGCAATTAACCGACTAATTTAAATCATAATTTTGGAAAAGGCCAAGGTACGGATTTGGCCAGACTTAAGAGTGTTCGTCGTACATCCCGTATTAATCTCGCACACAGCTAGCCAAAGTGGGATATCTTCAATCAGAATCGGTTGTGAAAATATGTAATTAATTATCCAACAATTAATATTCAAAGAACGCGCGGTGAGAAAGACAAGAAGCCGTTTGTTTTGACAGTGCTTTGGCGTTTCGCGGTAGTCATTCATAGCAAAACGTTCCCCTCGGGCATTTATCTTTTCTTCCACGTAGGTATATATTATTACTGTCTTTCAAAAACAACTCTCGTGTTTTGCAAACAACCCGAATTAAACGCGTATACCTATCTCGGTATTAACTACGTGGAATTCAATGTTAAAATATGCGTCATAACCGACAGCTGGCAATATACATTGCGGTTTAGTAAATTACACCCGGCAAAAATTAATACCGGGTGATTCTTTAACGGTCTTCACTTATTGATTCTTAAAATAATTGCAATTTTCTGGCGTTTCTTTTTGGAATCATTTTTATTTATGTTACAGTACAATATTCAAATTTTTATCTTTTTTAGTATTTGCTAGAGCTCTGTCAACTTATTAAACTTAAATGGTAACATATATACATATATATATAATTATTTTAAAAGTTATTTAAGTTTATGGAGGTGGAGTGCGGTTGAGAAATGCGCGCAGATAAAAATAACTCTACTCTCCATCCTTCTTTCCGTCTTAAATTTTAAACTTTAATAACTTCAAAACTATTAATTCAAAACTTATTAGTTATCGACCAGTCAAATTATTCACTAAATTATTCTCAATTTAAAAACCTAATAAAACATATACTACAATTTAATATATAATAAGTTTCAAAAGTTGATAATGCTCTAGAAGATACTAAAAAATATAAACATTTGATTATTTTCTCATATAGTAATAATATAGCATCAACAAAAATGGTTTCAAAAAGAAACACCACAAAATTGCATTTATTTTAAGAGTAAACCAGTGTAGGGCGTTAAAAGAATCATCCGGTATATCGGTGGAAATTTAATTGTACACACCACCGCAAGCAATAGTTACGTTTAACGCAATTAGTATATTATATAAAAGCAAATAGTATTGTCATAATATTATACTTAGATATAACGCATACATTCAATATTAACACTGCGCAAGTGTGTACTATGCAAATGTGAGTGTAACTCATAAACTAATATACCGGCAGAAGTAAAATCTATTTTTTTGTGATTTTCAAACATGTAGCATAGACAATACGAACTGTACATAATTAATTCTACACAGGTTCATATTGTTATATTGTACTACAAACAGACCAGTTGAAAAAAATTAAATAAAAGACTCTTCCAACAGAGAGATTGGTATTTTTCTTCAGTGTACCAGATGTGATTCGTTTGCCTTATTTTTCAATGGATAGGTCGCCGTAAAGAGTTTTATGACCCTGTATGGAAAATAGTGTCTCCGGCGACCTGATAAAACTGAATTTCCGTTTACCCCAATGCTTTCCAATTACTACACCCGACCCTATCAAAAGAGAAAACGATTTGTCAATTGAAAAAAAAAATACTCAGTTTTATATCAAAGATAGTAAAGTATCACTATGGAAATTATTATAATTTAAAAAAAAAAAGTATTCTAAGCAAATGTCTTTTCCTCGAGGTTCAAAGTTCTTACCAATGATAAATAAATACGTAATTCATTTTAATATTTAAGAAGCATTTTATTTTGGTTGTTTGTATTAATTTTAAACAGGATTTTTATTAAAAGAAACGTATAATTTATCTTATAGTTTTAAAATGTTATGAAAAGATTGCTTGATTATAATACCACTAATAATTAGCAAGAGGTGTCATGTGTAGGTAAATATGTATACTACTTATTAAAGAGTTAAATTTAATTTCGATTTTTTTTTTTAATAAGTAATTCAAACATTCAAGAAGAGTATAAAATCATTATCAACATTGACTTGGTACGCCATTTTACTATAGTCAAACGCGGAATTCTTCAGTAATTGTATATTTTCAGTTTTACGATAGTATTAAGTTTGTGTAAATATAATAATTGATTTGATGAATCATTCAAATAAAACGTTTTACTACTATTTGTAATACATACTAAAATTGTATTAGGAGTAACACTATTTTAAGATGAATTTATTTATATATTCTTATAAAACATTATTTTCTACCACCATCGCATCGGTTTTCTATTAATGGACACCTAACTACTAATGGTTTATTTTTCACATCAGTAAACGAAATTAATTATAAAACTGATCGTTATCTTATTAATTTCGAAGTAAGCACTTTCTCATAACACTTCAGTGATTTCAGCGGACAAAAGCTTAGTTGGTGCGTCAGTTATTGATCGATCAATGATTAAATATGGCGATAAAAACCGTAAAAAAAATCTGTTAAAAAGTGTTTAATTATTTTTTTGAATGTGGTATAACATAAAATAAATAATAGTATCAAACACACTTTTAATGGTTCCGTTAAAATACAAATTAGATTAAATAAAAATTGAGTAACAAAAAAGCGAAAACGAATGTTTTGAATAAAAAAACCGGTAATGTAAAATTTTTTTTGTGGGTCAAAGTGTTGATTGCTATTTTTTTTACTGTATATACAAATATGTAATACACTTAAAAAAAGTTTACCAAAATATGTTAATACACAACGGATTAGCTCGACCCAATTGAACGGTTACATATTTTATAAACTATTAAAAACAGCTAGACTACAATCGATCACTATTAGGCATTAGCTGTACACACCGGTTATTCTCCGTGGAAATTACTTTATATCCGAAAGTTATATTTCGGTTGAACTGTTATAATCAGACTAGGATAATTCTAAAATGAAAAAGAAACAGATTCATATATTAGTTCTACCTTTGCCATTCAATTTATTACACTCAAAATAAATATTGAAAAGCATACTCGTTGATATGTTAATTTTTAGAGACTGAGGTATCTAATCTATGTGTGGCCCTTATGTAATTATTATTAAAAGCGTTACTCGAATTTCTAAGATAATTTAAAAGGTCGTTTTTCATCAAATTAATACAAATTCGGATATACAATTTTCCATTTTCTCTTAAATGTATTTTTAATTTTTGTACAGTGTCGTTATGCGGTGAAAACTTACACATATAATTATGTATCTCAAGAGCCATGTTTTAGATATATAAAACAAATGTGTAGTTTAGGTACATTCCTTTTAGGTTAAGTCCATGTCGGGTAGATAGAAAAATGACGTTTTGTAAAAAAAGATCATCCCTCAAAAATGGCAAATAAATGTACTTCAAATTCATTAACTAGTATGTCTCCGATCTTGAACAAATCTAATGACAAACGTCATTTTTTAAGGGTTTCAAAAAATCTTTCTCCGCAGCTGTAAGTACTCCTCTGATTTCCTTCACATTCTTAACAATAAAACCCATTCGTTGTCACTTTTCACTCCATTTGACTGAATTTTATGATTTTCTGTGTAGCTCCTTGAAGTTTTCCATTTTTGCGCATAATTGACACTTAAATTTCTAAACGTCAACTACTATTCGTTTTATTCCAAGCAAATTTTACTGTTAAAGTGTTCTGTTTTAGATCAACGCTTCACTCCATCACTCTCGTAGGAAGTTTAATATAATATATTATTCAATGCTCGAATTAGAAAAATAAAAGTAGGAAAACGTTTTTATTAAAGAAAAATAACGTACCCGGAATTTTTAACCTCTTAAAAAACTACCACTTATAAAAATTGGTAGGGGTACGCTACAATTTGAGCACTGATTACATTCAGTTCGTTAAGCGTACGAATCGATATTTTAGCCATATGAGCATTCGAAAGCCGTTGTTGTTCTAAACCGTCAAGCACAGTTCGGCAAAATGTAATTAAATAACGATTAAAAGCTGAAACAAATCGAATAACGCGGTAATTGAAATCAAATGCCAACCGTTCTTCGATTTTTTTTTTAAACGAATAATAATACCGAACCAACCGTCGAATTGTATATATATATATATATATTATACATGTATACTCAGAATTTTCAACGGTTATTTAAAGAGCTTTTGCGTAAATAAAAGGAATGCGTATAATTGCAATACTTCAAACTATACCTATTATCAGGGGTCGTGCGAGCCATGATAACGGTTGTGATTCGTAGCCGGGGGTGACCGTGATAAACAGTGATCCGGCTGTAATATTTATTTGATTAACTCTCGGTTGATTTATAATAGCCGGAAACGCTATTGGGGCGTTACTATATTTTACTACGCCAGTAGCGTTGTAATGGACCATCGCCGGCCGTTGTGTTTGTATATCAACATTCATTATGTGTATGTGTCCAGGGCTTAATTTTATCTATACAATACAACGCTGAATATAAATTAAAGGCCGCCACCACCTAATAATGGCGGCGCCTCTGCCCCGTCGTTTACCTAGTATGGAGACGCGTGACAAGAATTCTTCGTACATTTTCCTCTTCCGTATCGTCGATCCCATGAGTATCCTTCTGTAGCTGTCTCGGTCTAGGCCCCAAAGTTTTACGTCGGTTTTGGCACGTACCGTGGCCGCCCTGGGTGTACCGTGGATCAACGCGAGCTCGCCAAAGCTACCGCCCTCTCCGATCACAGTCACTAACTCGGAATTCACATACACCTAAACCGAAAAAACGACTTAAGATATAAAACAAAATAAAAACTCAAACGTGAAACGGAATTTTGACTAAATACACTTAAAATCCGTCTTTTATAGCGTTTTCCAGCACACCGCACCGTTGCACCAAGAATGCACTTGGGCAAGTGAAACATTCGTATATTGTAGTACATTAAAAAGATTACCTAGTATTGCAACGGTATTTCAATTGGAGCGTACAAATTTATACTAGTCACAAGTGCATCCGATGGAAAACGCTCCATCGTTTCTGTGTCTCTTATCAACGGGTCCTCCCTCATCAACAGGCTATGGCGGTCAAAGACGTGATAAATTATTTTCCAAGGTTAATATAAGCATTTTGGTTCTAAACAAATCGGGTCATCCAAATACAGAGAAACAAAATGTTAAATACGTTTTTTAAAGGAGATATGCATAAATATTATAATATATTTTATATGAATCAGTTATAGGCTATAAATATATACATTTTGATCATAAATAAAAATTTTTTCTTTATAAAACTCATTGAAATTTTGACCTTGTGTATTTAGATAGAAAACTTGCAAATTATTTTTAATAAATCACATCTTTGACTACCGTAATCAATCATTATTCTTATCTCTTATCAGTTGATTTTTTTCCATAATTTGTCGCAAAAACATACCAATGTTCTACATTAAATAATAAAACGATTTGTCGACATACCTCCACTTCTCCGACGTCAATAACATAAAAATTGTCACCCTCGTCACCCTGTTGTATGATGGATTCGCCCTGTAGGAACGTGACCGGGAACATGGCGTCAAATATGTCCGATCGTTCGTTCTCGTCCAGATGAGAGAACAATATGTTTTTAGCGATTGCCTTCGACAGGGCAGCCATTGTTTTGTAGTCTTTGGGCACCACCTGAAAACCGAACGTTAACGTCATAATTCAAATATAAAACAAATAATTACTTATACAAACACCAATGTAGATTATTATTATTATACAACCGTTTGTTTGTTTTATTAACCCAGGCCTCAATATACCAGTTACAATGTACTCTCAACTCATGACACATGATCCTATTAAATTTTATTACACACGAGTATATTGGGGTCACGCGATACCAAAACGATAATACTACCTAGGTACGTATCTCCCGAAGTTTGGTATGGTTTTAGTCACGAAATAATAACAATAATGTAAAGTAGCTTAATTTTTAGCCAGACCAAGGCAAACTTTGTCGACCGAGGACTCTCCAGATGGGATGAGGTAATTTCTGTTTTGTGAGCTTATTATTTAATGCGAAAGTGTTGAAAATTAAAAAGCATTTCGCTGCTGTAGTACTACTATTTACCAGCTACAGTAGTGTCTGTGGGGTTTATACCAGCATTTATAAAGGGTAAACCTATATTTATTTAAGTTGTGTTTCACAATGTTTTTTCTCTTTAAAAGGTAATTTTTTTTTGTGTTCATAGTTTTTTTTTGTCATAAAACTATTTTAATTTAATAACTACAGCTGTAAACTCCTGTTTGAAATCTGTAAACAAAATAATTTAGGTCATGCTAAATGGCGGTTTCCCTACTCTCTTAGTGGGCCATGTAAAAACATGGTTGAAAATAGTGTTTTAATCATAAATAATTTATAATATTTGTTTTTAGATATAAATATCATTTGTTAGTTTATTTTATAACTTTCGAGACTTAATAATTTGTATTATTAGTATATAAAATATGAAAACAAAATAATAATCAATTTGACGTTTGTTAAAATATTTATGAAGTAGGCTTTGTCTATAATAATAGTTATATAAGCACTACTAAAAAAGTCTACAGGTATTACAGGTATTTAGTTATTTTGCTAGGCTCTATTTATAACAAGTTTTAACTTATTATACCACAAGAAATTTACTTAACCTACTTTGAAATTTTTCAAAAAAATTATAAATTCTAACAATTAAAAACTACAAATTAATACTTCTTTATTGTTATATAGTATTATTAATTAAGAGATCATCACTGAGTTTCCTTTTTTCGGTCGTTGTTTGCATAATTTACATTATTCTATGATAATAGATTTGCTCTTTTCTACATTTATGACCAACAAAAAAATAGCCAAAGAGTACTAAATACAACCAAAATTAGAGTTTGAATTTTACAAATAATAAAACCCTCTCAGAACGCATCAGAATGAGACACCACAACAGGGGTAAGATGAAAATTGATATTACTCTTTTATCATTCTAGTAACATCACTGTTACGAGACCATTTTTAATTTTATAAAGAATTAAAAAAAATTCTATGCAAGTTAATAATATAACCCCGGTATTCGTCGTGCGCACAACAAATAAGGAGACGAAGGACCCTACTTTTCTATTACCCAGCGACTTTAAACCACATAATACACACACACACATGTATACTATTATTTACAAAATGTACGTGCAAAAAATATTTTTTGGCAATCGTTCATTAATCACCGATCACGTACGCGATAATCGTTTTTATCGTTCTCGGCCTCGCTCAGGGCGAAAAACAAACAATAACACGTTGAAAGGCCGGTAGAAAATAATAACAATAATAAAAGGGAAAAAATCATTTTCGTTCGCTACTATATTAATAATATAGTACCAGTAACCTTTAAAATTTATTAAGTGCACGTTTTGATGAATCTGCTGTGGCTTGTGTTGTAAAAGTAGGTACACTGTTTTGAGCAAAAAAATAATATTAACATTTGAGTTATTATAGGCTAACGGCTAACCATTATTACCACTGCGTCAAAACTTATTGTATACAAATAAGAATCAATACGTGGGTTTTTATGTCTTCTATTGCGCTAAACTATACATATTGCAAAGGCATTTGAATTAAAATGCCTACAATTACTGGTCACTTGTAAGTTTACCAATATCCATAAACACAATTACTTTGAAACTAATAACCAGTAAATGGAAGTTACCGAGTATAATTACTACGAAACGGAGTCAATATAGTGAGCTCCTAAGTTATGCCATTGATTATAAATATAAAATACTAGTAGTTATAATCAATGGTCATACATATTGCACATGATATAATAATATTACAAAATTTGGTCGCCTTTCGTATACACGTGTAAGAGTAACAAATAATTTGTTTCATTTGAGAAATTTGATGAGTCGAATTATAGGCGTTCGTCTGCAAAAAGTATTCAGATAAGAACATTTTGCTGAAGAACACGATGCAACTTACCCCTCCCCTCTCCTCCCCATAGGGGCATCATCATCAGTAGTCGAGACACTGAGCTTTATGCCGACTCGCTTAAACAGTCTCAAACATTCAATAGGACTTGCAAAAATCAATTAAAAAACTTTCGGAAAACCGCTGTGGCGTAAAAAACTTCAAAGATTCCGCCGCCTACTTCTCTTAGGATTGTTTTCAATTTCAAGAGTTTGGCGCGTTTGTTAAGAGTTTATTGTTCGTTAAGATGTCGATGGTTCGTTGGGCCGAATGAACAATATATAAACGACTTGATACATATTACAACGACACGGACAAAATCAAAAGCTTGTTAATTAAATGTCGCTCGAACGTCTACGTCTATTATGTAATAAAATATAATATATATTATACAACACAATACATAAAGCGTACTTCCCGAAATAACTGCTGTAGTGTTCATAGTTGTTCAAAATATGTATTCGTCTTTTAGTAATCATGGGCAGCTTACATCATAACCAGTTTGAAAGGCGTTATGTTTGTAGTGTTTAGCCGGTTCAATTTTTATTTGAATCCTTACAAAGAAAATGAAAAAATTTCAACTATTATTTTAATCGAAATATTCTACTGCGTACTTCATAGGGTAATGATAATTGGATGTTAAGAGATAGAGCTAACGAAGTCACTTGCACATAACTTGTATTTTTTCCTTTTAAAACCGTTATACTATGACCTTCATCAATAATATTTATGTCTTAAACATGACAAGAGAAATGGTTCTCCTACCATTTTAACTACGCCGAGTGACGTCTGCTTATACTTATTACTATGATTCCAACTAGGGTATCTTTCCCATAAAGATATTGTTCCATTTTTTCGAGCTTCGAAGCTTAGAAACCTAACCTAAACACTACTGAACTGGTAGAGCTGAAAAAAAAACATCAACGCAACACGTACAAAGGCGTTGACCACAGACGGGATGAAAAGTTATGATATCGTACAGGGGAGACGTGTGAAAGACATATGCGGTTTTTATACAAAAACAGAGGGAAGGGGGGAATGGTTTTAAGTGTGATACCATTAGAAAGTTTTAATAAACTTTTAAAAGTTTATACACCTACATAAGTTCGGTAAACGTGTTAACCGTGCAATAATAACGTAAAATATTTAATTATGATTTTTTAGCTTCGATGCGCAGCCAAGAAATGTTTGTTTTTACAGTAACGTGTTTATATATTTAAAATTTTATTTTTGTGCCTTAACCCACGGTATTTCCTAAGCCGCTGAACCAAAAAATTCTCTGCTTCCCCTTCAAAATTGAAAAAAAAATTTAAAAACATTCTCTGGCACGATACAAGTAGGTGGGAGGTACTATGAAATTAAAAACCGTTTGGATTGTCAAGGTATAAAACTGCGGTGCCAAAACTCGTGTCCGGAGTTCCAACGGACACTAAACAAAACGTCCTCGACACAATGATTTTGGCAAATATTTTTCAGGAAGAGGTATGCTTGTCCAAGACAAGATTTTTTATTGAACCAGCATTATTTATTTCTACTTTGTTTTATTTAATGGCCTAAATTATATTATCGTTAACACTACCGTTATATTAAAAGGTTGCATAGGAAAAATTAATTGCCGGTACTAAAAATTAAATAAAATGATGATATCATAAAACTCGATTACGTTTGGAACGTACTCGAGTAATATAAAATATATATATATAATGTGCGGTTTATATTGACCCACCGCAATCATTATTGTTTCCAAATCGCATTTTACCTAAATGTTTTGGGATGGAAGTTGTTTAAGCTTTGTTTGAAAAGGAGACAACAGTGTTCCTTAATTTCACTATCCGAACCCCCTTAGAGACCTATTATTTGTACAGGTCGATGGATATACACACGGTTTGTAGCGCAGAAAATTACTCGTAGCCAAAAAGGAGAACATCAGTGGGGGGTTGATTGAAGTTTTCAATGTCGTGGAGTTTTCGAAGCAAAATTAAAAATCTAGTGTGCAGCGCATGGCAAGTGTCTAACTATAAAACGTGCAGGGAATGTTAATAAACTCCACATTGTTGGCTGTATTCATTTTATCCATTTATCATATTTTTTAAATATTATTTTAGCTATCCAAACGTTTTTAATTAATAAACTTTATTACATTTTTATATAAAGTCTTAAGCTTTCCCGAAAAGTTTTACTTACAGTAAATTTACAGCAGGGTATATGGTATGAAGATTTATAGGTAAATTTTAGAGTTCACCTTGAATTTTTATATCATCTCTCGAAAGTGGTTTTGTCCTATAAATGTTACGACTAACTAAATCTTAATGTTTAGAAGTTAAAATTTGTGTACATCAATTATCATAGTTATTTATATACTTCTTAGCACTGATAATTTATATAAAAAAACAGAAGGTAGTAGTGGGAAAAATTAGAAAAAGCCAGACGAACATAGCAAGGGACATGCATATTATATTAAAATACTATATTAAATAGTTTCGTATGACTTTGTACTGAAGTAAATCATGATGACAAAACGTCTTATAAAAAACTGGTCGTAAAAGTGTTAGTAAAAAAAACATTTATATTATGCTAGTTGGATTAGAAGTGGACGATCACATTTTGTAGGGTAAAACTAGACAAACAACAATTTTATTTTAATATTTTATAATCATAATAATTGTACATGGCGGTACTTTTAAAACTTTAATTCTTTCAAAATATTAATATATTTGTACGTTCTTGACCTTAATGAAATTGTAAGATATAAAATAGATGGATGTATTCGAGTATATATTTAACGTTTTGTAGTCAGCTATTAATACGTCTCAGGGCTACTACACTTTCACTCTTGATATTGTGACACAACAAATATGACAACCATTCCGTTAAAGTTGACCTATGATATCAGAACAATTATTTTTACCGTTAAGATAATACCTACTTCTAAATGTGGTAAGAATTTTGTAATTCTAATCGGTACATATTCAATCAATCACAAATCACGGTATATACTAACATAAAATATATGATCATAATATGATCTTCAATGTTAAATTTTAACAATACCTACTCAAGTAGTAGGTCTTATATTATTATTATCTCGTAAACAGATTTTTAATGATGACTATGAAAAAAAAAATAGGTCATTTACTAACAAAAGAGAATTCCAGCATAACCACCAACATTTAGTCAATATAACAGTTGTCTCCTTATATACGTCATACGATTAAATGGTACCTTAGGTGATAAATGTTTGTAGGCGATCTAGTTTTTATCCATGGGAGTACAACACTGTTGGTTAAAATCATAGATATTTTCAATGGAGTAAATCAAGCACAATTAGAACCCCCACTGAACGTATTTAGCTTAGGATAGATAATAAGAAGGGCAGAGATGACAGAAAGAAGCCGGCTTCAAGAGCAATAGTGGTACCGGGTACATAATTTATACTATTAATAGTAAACTATTTAAAATAAGCTACACTACCTAGTATATTTAATTCCTTAGAAAGTCTTAGGTGTTATGAAAGAAGATAAAATACGGCGGATGATGAGGAAATACAATATGTAGTTTGAGAATTATGTCAATAGCAGACAAAAAAATGAGAGAGGTAAGGTAACTGAGATGCTTTAAAAATAAAAATAATCAAATAACATAAAGTGTAATACATGAGAGAAGATTGAAGGAGTACAATAACGAAGTGGAAATTATTAATGGAGGCATCGAAGTATGATAGCAGATAGAAAAATGGTAATGTGCAAGGAAATAAAATAGGGATATTATAAGGAAGCTCAAACTCACTCTATAAAATAAAGCAAAGAGAAAGCGAGAGTATATGGATAAGAAGCGTATGAAATAAAGAAAAGAAATTTGTACAACATAAATCTAATGACAATATGTTTTAAGTGATCTAAATATCGTATAACATGAATATTGGATAAAGCTATATATTTAAACACACAATTCATTTAATCATTTAAAAATGCATGGGTAAAAAAAAGACAAGCCAAATATTTTACTAAATTTTCAGGTGAACCGTTAAATGACAATTCTTATCTCCATAAGATGTAATGGTAATATAATATTTTATGTCTTTGTTTTTTTCCTAATAAAAGAAATGTTTGACCACATATTTTTAAGAAAATTGTATATATTATAGCTCTCCTCTAGATATCCCTTTAGACTAATTTTCAGTCTCAAAACTATGCTAATAAACAGAATGATTCCAACTTTTCAAAGGAAACGGGTTCATAATATTGTTTTGGTTTGTAAATATATATTTATAGTACTTATCTCAAGAATTAGAGGTATTTATATTTAAGTTATTTTTCTCAATTTAGAAGGAGAAGGGGTGCACTTTTAACATTTTTAAACCAATGAAAGGCTTTTAAAGTACAATTTATAATCTGTAGACTTGCAATTTATGAAAAAACGGTTCAGCGACTTAAAAGACATCGTGGGTCCAGACATACAAAATAAAAACACATTGTAAATACAATTTCTACAATTAAAAATATATATATATCTGTGGCTTGGAGCAAGAAGGGCCAATGTCAATTTTGTGCATAAACGAGTTAGTCCGCTAATTGCAAAAATTGAATCATTCTTTATATACTGTGAAAAATCACACTCTGAAGCCAAAAAATGAATTACTCATGAAGAGTTTGATAGAAAAATTAACATAGAGCCTAATGGAAAATAAAAACTTCAAAGCTCATTTTCCGAAAGTTGCAAAAAGTGACATTGGCCCTTCTTGCTCCAAGCCACAGATATATATAAATCTTTTGACGCTTATAAATTCGATTTTATAATAAATGAAGGAATTTTTTTCGTTCCTGAACTGCGTAACCATTGCTACATATTATATTATTAGACGGTTGTTGGAAGGGATGAAACACGATTGCGGACGGTCGTTATCGGCAGTACCTTTTTCAATAACATGATTGCGAATATTCTTACCTGCTTATCCCTCATTCAACGTTGCCGTATGGGTCTTACCAAAGACTACACAATTAATTTTATTATAAAAAAAAAAAATCATAAATATTTGTAGTCTTCCCCAAAACTTTTAAAACTAACAATACCAACAAAGTATTTTTCAATTAAATTTTGTTGCTATCAACGGTAAAATTGACGGACTTTTACTTTATGTGTACAAACTTTCATTTAGTTAGTGTTTACCACGATTGCTGATCGGTTGTATATACGTTTGTTATTTTATACAAATTATTTTTTTTTAATTCGCCAACATGATAGTACTTTAAATTGTGAAGAAATGAAAAACGAATTTCAAAAAAATGTTAGTGAAGATGATATTGTAGATACAAATTTATTTTAACTGAAGTAAAAAATAAAAAAATAAAATATATAATTATTTAAAAAAAAAATTAGGTGTAGAAAAAATAATTAATTATATTTCGTCAATCATATAAATCAATAGTTATAGTTACATTATATACATTTAAATTTGTTAACCTGTGTGCATTGCTCAACCACACTTCCCCTCCTATCCTAACTTTCAAAATCGAATTGCTTTAAAATTAATTATTAAAAACTGGTTAACCCAGTGAGATATTGTGTGGATCAATTTAAAAATTACCTGCATTTATGTAAAACTTTTGGTGTATCATGACCGATAAAGTGCTACCTATAATTATTGTTGTACGATTTGACAATGTCGCACGAAAAATCGTTCGCAATCGTTTAATTTTTAGGTACAAAATAGTTTTTCTTTGATCTACCGACAATCGTTCGCAATCGTGTTGCGAAAAAGGTAAAACGTTCGCAATCGTGTACCACCGGTTGGGACTAGGTATAAAATAAAATATCTCTACTCCTTTAATTTTTCTCGCGTCCGACCATTAAACGTTATGTGAATAATAATGACCAAAGCTTGAATACTAATCTCTCTCGCGAAATTTAAAAGCCATCCCAGCGTTCAGTTGAAAAAAAAGGGCTCTTACTTTTTTAACGTAGCTGGTGGCTTCCTCTTCCGATACATGTTCGGCGGAAATGCCACCTCTCCGTCTGATGGATTGTTGGCCGTGACTTGCTGGGCCGGTAGAAGGAGTCGACTGGTAAAAGTCATCGGTTTCGCCGTGCTGACTGTCGCTTCCTTGCTCTTGTTCCTGTAAAAAAAAAAATATTTTCGAATCAATACATATTTTTTTAATGTCACCGATATACTTTTTGTCGTATATAGAACATATTATAAAAATTTTTTCAATGTTAGTTTGCATTCTCTTTTTTTATTATTTCTCGAGGTGTATATTATTACTTTATATTATTAGGTATTTTGTTTTGTATGTCATAGATTGTGAAAATTACTGTGAGAGTATAGGGATGAGCAGGGAGTATTGCAGTGAGTGTAACGGCCTGATTATTATCACTATAATTATTTATTTATTCACCATGCATATTTTAGGTTGTGCAAGGGGTGCAAGTATGCGCTTACACGTTTACAGCGTTTTTATTAAAATTTAGCTGAATGCTCATCGAGCGTAATAATAAAACGCTTTGTTGTGGATTTCACGCGTGCATGCTGGGATGGTTTTCATACTACCTGTATAAGCACTTGTAATGCAAAACAAAGGTATTATCCTTCGCGTGTAGATTCCAGCTGATCGACTGACATCAAATAATATATTTCAAATAAAAGCCTATGGATTGCTTGTTCCATCTAACCTTAAATACCACAGTAATCAAATTAAACGCATAACGTGTGTGCAAACGCATAAAATTCTTATGGGAACAGTCCTGGAACGATTCGGTTAACGGAGACACCAAAATCCGCATTATCATATACAGCGTGGATATTATAGTAAATGTGGACATAAGATCAAAATCTAAAACGAAATGCGTTCAGCTATTAAAATCGTATTAGGATGTTGTCGATAGCAATCTCTCAAATCTCACCGTACTATCGCATAAGTGATACCCATAACATTCAAAATGGGTATTTGCAAAACTTACTTCCCTCCTATATTTTATTTCTATCAAATGCATAAAAACTGTCTCCATTTTAAATTATTTAGAATCACCAAGCAGAATATCACACAGTTTTGATTCATTATTGAGTTCGTTTGTGGGTAATACTAGGGCAGAGGACATTTTAAGGTCTACTAGTCAAACATATCAGAGCAACATTTTCTATAGAACAGTAACGGTCTGTAGAATTTATGCTGCGTCAATTCTTTTTTGTGCAAGTTCGAAATAGAACAACAGCAATTATTGTTACGACAGTGCACGAAGAAATTATACCATTAGGGCGTATTTAATATAATTTGATAGGCAGAAACTTCGACCGAAGTTCAGACTCTAATAAGAATGATAGCAATAACAATTAGAACTCTCGAAAACACTTGTAATTCTAACGGATGAAATGTGCGTTAATTGCAGATGTCTTCAGCTACTCACAAGTATATGCTAACGATGACAATTTGGTTGGTCTCTAGGGATTTCATCAAGTCGACCACTAAACCGCGTTTCTCTCCGATTGATTATCGTTTTTATTATAATTATTATTCTTCATCGAGTAAATGTATATAAAGTAATAACACACGTGTCGTTTCCAATAAAAATTTATAAGCGTGACGCTTTAACTAATCTTATTATTCTGTTTTTCGGATAATACATTTTTTCTGTTAATAAATTGCCGGCTGCATAACAAAATTGTGCGAATGTTGTTTTTGAGTGCATTTAAGACAAGCTTATTCGCATTTATTCCAGAACGGCACAAAATAATGACACTCGCAATAGCAGTATTTTATGTCTAACTAAATTCTCGGATAAAGTTTATGTGTAAAAGATTCAACAAAGTGTAATATTATTTTTATATGAAATTTAGCAAGTTAAAAAAACACAAGCTACATAAAAAACAACCTAAGTAAATCCAAGTGCTAAATCGGCTACTCATTTATTAACCCTTGTCAGCGTCCCTTTTATTTTTTTCTCCTTGTTATTTAACTTTAGATTATTTTGCTGAAACTCTCCACGCTACCCTGTTGTGACTCAAGTTCTGAACTTTAGTTGACGTGCATCACTTGAGTTAATTCCTGCGCCACACCATGCCCTCATTCATCGTAAATTCATAAACACTAACGCAGTGTTGTCAATTAAAAGACAACGGTTCGCCATTGTCTTACATTGATCACATAAAAAGGCGCCAGAACATTGGTGAATAAAAATACAGGGTTTGGCATTCAAAAATAACGGCTAAGCGTCTATAACACAAATAGAGTACGATAAATGTGTCCGTTTCCGTCACCCTGTGACATGGTTGACGGTCTCGATCATAGAGTTGAAAACCACAATAGGGTGCCGGACGTGCGGGCAAGAGCTGTACGAGAAGAACATTAAGGGATCGTGCGGTGGCCAGGGCATAGTGTGTACATGAGTGTGTATACATATATATATATATATATATATATTATATGTAGTGGTTATTCACGGATGTGCTGCTAGAAATGCAATAAGCAAACCGCCGCCCGTCGGGTCGTCAGAATAATATTATATGGTCTGATGGAATGCAATGTCGAATGCGTTCACGTCCCATACTTACTTGCTTGGCTCACCGACGATGTAATAATCCGTAACGCCGGATACGCCATAAACAATGGTATTATTTTTCATTAAAACCGTTCGAGATTATAAATTATAATAATTTCGTATCGTGCATGAGAAATAAGCCAACGACGCTACGTCGTCAAAGCAACCCTTGTCTAAGTCTCGACCACGATCAACGAGAAGACGTTGCGCGTTTTACAGTTTTCTAAGACCCGCGTTATTTATTTAACACTTTACTGTTTCCACGTCGTGAATTATTTTTTAATTTTAATTATCAACCCAAAAACCACTTCAGGTCTTTTGAAAATTTTTTAATATTTTATCTTGCAAGGAGCCAACTGACTAGTTAAAATAATCCTTTTAGAACTAACTGTTTTCTCGTTAGATAAAATAATGTAAAATAAATTAAAATTTAGTCGATCAATTGATTGATAATATGTACATCACTAGATCACCAAAATATACCGCTTAATTATACCAATTCATAATTCAAAAGAGAATTTATCATAACATATGGTTTAGATGAAGTTCGAAAACAAAGATACCTACTAATATCTTCTTCAAGTCTACTGTAAAAGCATCGTATTCTTATAAGTTAAATATACTACATTGGTAATGTTGGAGTTTTAAAAAACAGCAAAGTAAAAAAGCCGCACTTAAATAGTATTGTTAGGTACATTAATCTGTGTACACTTTTCCAAAAGCTCTGCAATAAAATATATATAATTTTATAATTTTCTCTGGTGACAGAGTACATTTTCTAAAATATATAAGTAAGTAAAGTTAACTCGATGTTGGAATTTCGATCCACACGTGAAATAATAGCTAAATTATTATTAACGTTATTAAAACGTAATTACTTTAATTATTAGGTATTTTAATCAAATGACAGATTATAACAAGACATAACGGGAGCAAAAAATAATTAAGAGTAAATCGAGGGAAAATTATGTGAGAACATCGTAGTAAGTAAGTGGAAACAAATAAAAGCTGGGAATTTCTTAATTAAACTGGATAGGCAGCACAGCAATATTATGATAAAATATATTTTTTATGATGACTATATGCTAACGAGAACACAGCGCGTTGTAAAACCATTGTATTACTGGCCATTGTTTATAATATACATTGTAATAAAAACATAAACCAAAAATAGTAGCACGGAATCGAATAATTTAATGTAAGAACGACGCGTGGAAACAAACAAACGAAAAAGTTTTAAATTATAATAACATCCCTCAGTATCCTTATGCAGGTAGAAAAATGGTGTTCTGGGAGAAAGTAATAAATTGTTTTTTACGGTTGATCGTTAACTCTAAAAAAAAAAATCATAAATCATATACCCGTACAACACGGAAACCGATTGTCAAGAAGTTATTAGTCTTACTTTTTTTTTAACAGCTTAAATTGTAGATTGTTAGAAAAGTTACAACAAGTACATTCCACTTTTGACGTTATTATGTTGTTGACAATACAATACAAATAAAATACGTGTTTACTCTTTTTATTTTTGTTCGGTATGCATATATTTATCTTAAAACGTTTATTTTCCATCATTATATCACTTCAATATGATATTATCGCCTCTAGATGTACACAAATTGAATAACGTTTATTATTCAAACTAATTACCAGATAATCATTGAACTGGGATAATACTTTTTCATTTTAATAATCAAATAAAATTTAAGCAAAATAACTAATAAACAGTTGATAAGTTCAGAAATAAGAAAAATGTAAGAATATGTTTATAGAAATTAAGCAAATCCAATAAGTGCCACTGCAATATTATGAAAAACGTTTTGATTAATTATTATTTAACTACAATTAATTGTTTTATATCGTATGACCTTAAGTATGTTTTTGTAAGTTTTTATCATACTAAGAATGTAAACAATTATATACTACCGAACATCAAAATGTACACATCAATGCAAATATATAGTACTTAATATATGAGTATAGTTAATACATTAAACACGGTTTTAAAAAATAGCACTCGACAGTTCTATACTACCAGCACAGTCACCATTAGTACCACGGACTGACCAGCTGATCAGCAAATGCCTACGCTTAATTTGCATACTGTTTTTATTTCCTCGTGACGTCACTACAACCAGAAGCAATGAATTATCATACTTGTTTGTGTAGCTACAATGCGTTTAAATACTGAACTTTAGAATAGAATTGGGACTTTTCGTAGAACAATGCATTATTCATATATTGTTTAGGATGGTTTGAGTCACCTGTAGTAGTTAAATTTGAATGTTATTTAAATTATTTTACTCTAGAGACAACCGTTCTTGAATATTTAAAGAAACGCATATACTCAGTAAAAATTACCAAAGTGGCATCCGGTATGCAGTGATTAAAATCGAAGGGTTTTCTTGAATGTTATTTTATAGGAGCTTGGCTAACCTGTCCTATAACTTAGTACTATGGGGGAATCAATTATCATCGTAGTTAACGACTGACAGTTGTCTTTTTTTTTGCCTTCAAATTTTGTTTATTACGCCTGAACCATATGGTATCTGAAGGTATTCCATCACATTTTATTTATCTC